TTGACACTTTGTAACTACTGAATAACACAGATGTTGACCAACACTGTATTAACTGCGTCTTTTTGACACTTTGTAACTACTGAATAACACAGATGTTGACCAACACTGTATTAACTGCGTATACGTATTTAGTTAGTGTAACTATTTAGCCTGTGTAAAAAAACAATCTTTTTTTTTAAGTTTTATGTCTACTAATACATGAGGATGTATTTGTGATCTATTTTTAATAATGCTTCACATTGTAACTATGTATGCTTTCTATTGTTTCAGGACATAAAAGTTTCTCAAGAAGACTTTCTGGAAGTATTAAAACAATTGTGCCCCTCCAGTCAGAAGAGTTCTTCATGGCAGTGTGATGTAAAACCAGTCAACTGGTCTGAAATTGGTGGACTGGAACAAGTCAAGCGAAGAATACAGATTGTAAGTGTTTCAATGTTCTTTTTGCAAACCACGAGTATTTGGTGTAAACTGTATGTGAGAAATGTACATATTCTTGCCGGTTAAAGGATCGTGGTAGGAAAAGTCATAGGTATAAAAGCTATCAGAGGTGTCTGAACGTTTTCTCCAGTTCAGCCAGTTAGAGAAAGGATGATTTCACTTAAAAGAGGAAAAAAAAAAGTCTGCTTCAAGGTGACTGAAAAAAAGTACTGTTCTTGTTAAAGTAGACTAAAATGATGGAAACATAAAGTCACACCACAACATTTTGGTTATAGGTCCACACCAAACACAGAATTTGTGTTGTAAGAGGACAATCGGGAATATGTTAAATCATTTTACTTAAAAATATATATATATATACTTTATTCTTGGTTATTAGTCTTTCTCAGTAAATAATTGACATTTTGAATTAATTTCTTATTTGCTGAATTTGACGTTTGTTTTTTTCTGGGGGGGGGGTTAATTTCAAATTTCATATGATATGCATGCATCCCCATTTTTGGAAATATTATTTATGTTTTATCACTAATATACTTATGACAATATAAAAAAAAAAACATGTCACCAACTTTTCTCCGGGTCAAAATGTCGTAAAGTTTAAGTATTCAAAACTCGTTGCACGTGTAGGTGCTTTTAAAAGATAAAAGGCCTCACACGACAAGAAAACATCGTAGGATGAGAGAGTGAACCTTGAGCTACGAGGGTAGCTTCATACATTATTTTCACAACTGTTTGTATTATGTACTATTTTCAGGCTGTTGAATGGCCCCTTCTCTACCCTGAAGCCTTTGCCCGTATGGGAATTTCCAAGCCTCGAGGAGTGCTGCTATTTGGCCCTCCAGGCTGCTGTAAGACAACTTTAGTCAGAGCAGCAGCTACAAATTGTCATGCTACATTCTTGTCTGTTAGTGGAGCCCAGATATTCTCACCTTTAGTGGGTGACTCTGAACGAGCCATCTCGTAGATAACACTCTCTCCTGGACATTCTGGTGTTTCGAGGCTGCCCGCTTTCCAACAACAGAGTCTACTTCATCAATAAAAACTATGGACGGTGCTCCGAGCCTTGCATGGTGAAAAACCTACAGAATAATAACATTGAAATGTTTGTTTCAGTTAATAAATTACAAACTTGTACTTGATGATACTGTAATATTCAAAGTTGTATTCTGTGTAGGAATAGCACTTAGATGTATAACACAAGATTATAATGTTGTGTACAGAAGGAAGAAAAGTACCATATACCAATCATCTAACAGTGGCAAGCACAAACGTACCTCGGGTTAATACAACGGTTTCCATACTTTTAAAAACTTTCAGTAAGTTCCTTATGTTATACTAGGTTTGAAGGATTAAATAATTTGATGTCTGGATATTTAGCAGGTCCTGGTCTTCAGAAAAGAAATCTGACTTTTCCAACATATAAGAAAGTTCCTCATCAAAAAGCAACAGATTTAAAAACATCACACACTCGGATATTTGTGTGTAGCTAACACTAATTAATCCATTTAATACACTGGCTTTAGCCACGTTTACTCTGCAACTAAAAGCCAGAAACTACAGATACACAGACGATGATAACGTCACCGAATCTGCCCTACTGTCACTTACCTACACCATCCAGTTCATTTAATAAGGTATATATATTCATATAAATAAGTTGTCGACTCTTCCTATATAAAATAAGTTGTCGACTCTTCCATTAATAAAACAGTTTCCATACTTTTAAAAGCTGTCATTTAGTTCCTTATGTTATACTAGGTTTGAAGGATTAAACAATTTTATGTCTGGAAACTGGATATTTAGCAGGTCCTCACTGTTTTATTAATGGAAGAGTCGACAACTTATATATACATATATATATTGTTTTATTAATGGAAGAGTCGACAACTTGTTTATATACATATATACCGTTTTAATAATGGAAGAGTCGACAACTTAGGAGTAAAGATGTATGGTAAAAGCCAGTTAATTTTCAGCAGGATGAGAGTCTACCTTTGCTGACAGCCAAGGCAGGTAATTCCACAAATCTAAAGAAAGACTGTAGGGGATAATTATATTTAAACATCTCACCCTTTTAATAGCATTTTTTAACTTATTTTTTACAAATAAAGAATATTTACCCATATCTGGTAAATTGATAAGTTCTGGACACTTAAATACTTCATGTGTGTCTGGTGTACTAACATTTTATTTAAATAACTATGAAATATTTTATCAATAACAAAAACAGGGAAATCATTCTTAGATAAAAACTGATGTTACTGAATTCTTTATGTAACACTTCATGTGTGCTAGATGATTAAACAATATCTTATCAGGTTTTCTTTTAGGAATAGTTTGTTTTATTCATTAATTTTATTATTTTTCACACATATCAGTTTGTAAAGTTGTGACTCATTTTCAAGTGAGTTGTTTTTTTTAATAATTTTATTAAATAACTATACGTGTTTATTTCCCAAAGACATTTACTTCTTGCTTTATATTCTTAACACTTCATCTGAATTATAAATGCTCTTAGGTTCAAAAGTTAAGTAAACACTTTGCTAAAAAATAAAAAAAATGTTTTTTCAAAGGTGGTAATTTCATCAAATGTGTTTGACACCAGTTTCTTATTTTAAAGTAACTCCATGAAGTTAGTTTTTGGTTCTTACCTTAACTTCTTGAGCAGGAGCCCCTTCGTGTTCAGCTACTCCTCTTTTATCTTCGATTCTGATACCTACAAATATGCTGAAGATAAATGTCTTTGACAATGCTGAAATTACATCTTAATGTTTATGACAAAACATCATGTTGGATGGAGGTGAACAAGTCATTATTAAAATATGATGAAGGGGGTTAACGTTATCACATATTAATTCATTACACAACGATTGAATTGGTAAGTTTTTGTACAGCTAACACCTTTAGATCTCTCACTGCCATGTACAGTATACATATCCCCCCCCAAAGCACCACTTTTGGAGTTAGAAATTCTGCATCACCATGAAGATAGGGTATTCCCCTTAGACTTCCCAAACATTAAACCACATTTATACTGTTTATCTAAAAATAAACCTGACTCTGGAAGTGTTGTTTAACTGTAAATGTGGGAACGAAAAAGTTAAACATTCATGTTTTTGGCTTCTCCTAATTACACGGCCAATAGGATGTAATGTTACCTTTCATTGGAAACAATTATACTTTAAACTGTTGTTACAGGTAAGTAAAGATACTTTAAACTGTTGTTAAATATAACTAGAGATTAAATTTCTACGTAGAAGACTGATGTTGAATTGATGGTATTTTTGTTCACATCTTAGTTGGGATCCTGTAAACAATAAAATAATGGAACCAGAAGCAATTTTGTGGATAAATAGTTTCGAAGGAGATGCTGATTGGCTATTGCCCTTGGTGTCAAGAACTTCACCTCTCTCTCTTGATAAAACGAAAGTTTGTAATAAATATATTTTACTTGATGAATACTGGGAGTAAAATCTGGTTACAAGTGATAATTAAAACAACTTAAAATAGTTCTTCCAGTTTACATTACATTTATTGAAAAATACACAAATTTTACATCAACAATGTATATTTATCAAACAGATACACTTTACTTACCTGTAACAAGTAGTTATA